TTTGCAAGTAAAAACTTAGTTTTCTTCCAGGGAGTCTCAATAGGGAAACAAAATACTTTTTTTAATTCTCTCATATATTACATTTCTAACATAGTTTCCTCTCCTTCCCCTCCACCACCCTCTCATCTCTCCCCACCACCAATCTACCCTCCCTTCTTCCTTCATCTCCCCTCAGAATAAAGCAGACATCTAGGGACATCAACCAAACAAGGCATAATATGGTACTATAAGACCATACTATTACATTGAGCCTGGGGAAGATGACCCAGTAGGAGGAAAAGGGTCTCATAAGTAGTCAAAAGAGCCAGTGACTGCCAATGTTCCCACTGTTAGGAATCCCACAAGAGCACCAAGCTACTCAATCATAACATATTCAGAGGACCTCAGTTAGACCCCTAGAGGATCCTTGATCTTTGTAAATCCTCGTGAATCCTGGTCCCCTGATTCTGTAAGCCTTGTTCTCATAGTGACCCTGACCCTTCTGGTTCCTCAGATCCTTTCTCCCCTTCATCCACAAGGGCCTGAGCTCCACCTAATGTTTGGCTGTGGGACTCTGCATCTGCTTCCCTCAGTTGCTGGATGAAGTCTTTCTGGTCTCTTTGATGAGGATTCTTCTAGGTTTCCTGTCCCAGAACACTCTGTAGGCAGAACAAACTGTAGGCTGACGTTTTTTGAGGCTGGGCTGGTGTCCTAATCACTCCACTTTAGACCTTGCCTGGTTACAGAAGATGGACAGTTCAGGCTCCATATCTCCATTATTAGGAGTCTTTGCTAAGGTTACTCTCATAGATTCCATGGAGTGTTCCTTGCACTAGGTTTCCACTTTGCCCTGAAATGTGCCCCCCCCCCACAGTTCTAGTCCTTTCTCTTAGTATTTACTCCCTCGCTCAACTTGATCCCTCCTGGTCCCTATCCCTCCCACTCCCAGTCCACCAGCAAAAGCTATTCTATGCCTGCTTTCCCCTGGGAGATCTTTGTGTCAACATTCAAGCCCTCCTTGTTACTTAGCCTCTCTGGATCTGTGGATTGTAGCATAGTTATCTTTTACTTTACATCTAATAACCACTTACGAGTAAGTGCATACCATGTTTGTCTTTCTGGGTCTGGGTTATCTCCCTCAGGATAATTTCTTCAAGTTCCATCCATTTGCCTACAAATTTCATGATGTCATTGAATAAACTACTTTTAAATATAGGCCACATGCCCAGCAGTAGGTGGTCAACAGGAAAAGAACTTAATGGTCTTTTTAGAGGTAACTTGTATTATTATAAGGGCTTTAAAAATTTTATAAATACCATCTCTCTGTCTCTCGTCTTTCTCTGTGTGTCTCTGCATCTCTCTTTCTCTTTACCATACAGGTCCTTTGTATATATATTATAGTTTCCTGTTCTATGTTTATATGGGATTCCTAAGTATGCAAATGAGTGAATCTCTGCATCTATATATGTTTCTTGTGATACATCTTGAGTTGTTTTTCACCTGTATGTTTGTATGTGTATTCCGATGTGTTACTTTTTGTCCTATATTATTATATTTTATTGTATTATTAAAGAATCAAATGCCCAGAAGAAAAATGTCAATTCTTTTACAAACAGCTCTCAGTAATGAATTCTTCTTACATGTGATATGTTCACAGAGATTTTTTGCCCCTCTATATTTTAGGCTAGGGCATCTGCTATTTTATACGCAATTTCTTAGGAGTAATAACAGTGGTAGACTTTGGGGGTCGTCCTGCCTCACTCAACAATGCATACATGTTCTAATGTGTGCATTTTCAATGTATCTCATCATGTTCTGGATTCGTAATGTGTGTTTTCACAAACATAGACGATTCAGTTCATCAGTCAGAGTTGACTCTGGTCACCCCAGGTGACCAAACAATGTAGTATAAGAGCCCAGAGGGGAACACAACATGGAGGTTCACAGTGGTATTTTTCTGTAAGTAGAAATAACATTCCAAAATAGTAACAAAGTCTTGCATAACAAATACATAAACCAGTCAGACAGCCATTTTTATTATTATCGGATATGTTTACATTATTTTTATGCCACTGACAGTGTAAGAAGTTCATTACACCAACACAGCCACAAGCGAGTGCCGCATCACACTATGATAGTAAGATTGATGGGAAATGGAATTTTTACCCCCATAGTAGTTCTATAGGACTTATGGTATTTGGTTTGTACTTGAATGAGAAATCATGATGCAACACATAGCTGTGCTATTGATTATTGTGATGAGGACAATGCCATGGTCCTATATATGTTATATATTATACATATATACAAATATATATATATATATATATATATATACACATATATAATTTAGTATTCTTAACAATGTTCAATAGTATTATTTGCAACTTACAAGTGAAGAAAATGAGCAACAGAAAGTTTAAAGATAGACAAGCATATGGATGAGATGTGAACTCAGATAACCAAGAATTAATACTCCTATGTTTTTCAGCAATACCACACTATTTGCATATAGCCCCCAAGTGGTAGATAATGTATCTACCATCTTCACTGCTGCTTCAAAACCCAAGGTCTATTTGAAGAAACATGAGTACTGTCCCCTCATTGAGAGGAACAAATATTTCCATAAGGTTTCTTTCATGGTGAGTGTTTCATAATGAAGACTAAAGTGTATGATAAATTCACAGTCACTCAGGTCAACTCAACTGTCCACAGCAGTGAGGGAGAGTGTTGTGTAAGCAAATGTAATCATCCTTGCCCAACATTATTTTCATCCAATATAAAGTTTAAAAACTCATAAAATTACTCATAAGAAACTGGATAGAATTTGTTACTTCCCAGTAATTTAGACACAAAATGATCACATTTGGCAAACTAAGCTGTCGATAAGGTATTGAAACCCATGTAGACAGTTTTGAAAATGTTCTGGGAAACTGATAAATAAAGGTGTCCTTAAATCAATAGAGGTAACCACAAAGCCTTGCCTATGGGCTGTCGCATTTCTAAGGAACTAGACATAATAGAGTTCTAGTTCTAGTTTTTCTTTTCTCTCTCTTTTTTAAGTGACAATGGCTAAGACACTAAGAGAAGAAGGATTCAGGTTGGTGAGATAAAACAAAAGTTATCAATACAACTCAGAGCTCATTATAGCAGTCAACTGAAGAATTTTGCAGCATCTACCAATCAATAGGGAAGTGGATACCATTCTCCTTCAGACACACATGCATAGACTTTGTGTAGTTTTTATCCCCTTTTCCTTCATAGTGCCTCAGTGCTTTCCTATTACTCGGTTTGGGCTATTAATAAAAATGATGTTTCCCCTTTTTTTCTCTGCTTTATCTCATGGAAGTTTAAGGTAATGTAGAAGGATTTTTCTTTGGGCCACCAGCTCACAAAAACTGAAATGGAGACCTATTAATCATGAAAGTTTGGTCTATATCTTAGCCTTGTCTAACTCTCATAACTAGCTCTTAAATTAACCCATATATATTAATCTACATTTTGCCACATGGCTTTTTACCTCTCTTCCATCTTGCACCTCCTGTTTCCTGACCATGTCCTGTGGTGTCTCTCCCATGCCTAGATTCATCACCTCTACTTCTCTCTCTGCCTGGAAATCCCACTTAACCTCTTCCTGTCTAGCTATTGGCCATTCAGCTCCTTATTAAGCCAACTAGAAGGTGACTTGGCAAAGGCACGTCTTCACGGTGTACAAAAAATATTATTTCACAACATTTTCCCTTTTTTGTCTAAATAGAAAAAAGAAAGGTTTTTAACTCTAACACAGTAAAACTATACATAATAAGAACAATTATCAGGTAAGAATTGTATTTACAATGTCCAGTTCATTTGCATCTATTTCTTTATGACTGTAGCCAGAATTTAAACCTGGTCTCTATCAACCTTGAAGGAATCCACAGCCTTTCATTTTTCTGTGGAAACAAAAACATAAACTCTTCCCTAAATCAATACGTTTATGGCTTCCATTTTAAAGTTAAGGCATCCGTAAAGTATCTAGGCTGGTTTAATTCCGCAGTTCCTCTTACAATCCCATGTCTCTCAGCAGCTGTCATTCACTCATCAGCAATCAAAAAATTCAAAGTCAATAAAACACCATATAGGGTCCAGACTTTCTGTGTGTTCGCTATCTTTATGTGGCATGTCCATTTTATATTATTTTATTCTCTTTAAAGACCATATCTTATTATTGATAAACTATTTCTTCTATGACTGTCTATACCCATTTTCCTTTATTTTTAAAGCCTACACATATGTTTAAACATATTGCACCCTTTTAGAGGTTTTATGCATGTGAACCTGGTTTTACTAAGCATCTGCAGTTGTCTCTGATCACGGGAGACAAATCTTAAACTGCTATGTCAGCCACTGTTGTCGCTTAGCTTAGCACATGGCACTCTAGCCTTCAGGCAATGACCAGTAGCTGCATTTCTGTATACTGCTAAGCCTACCAGAGAGTCTGGGGTCACCAGGAAGCAGCAGCTGACTCTGTGTTCTGAACTTATTTTAAGCTTTCTCAGGCCTTATATATATTATACATGGCCAGACATTGGGTGCCATGTGTAGGCAGATTTTTCTTTGTGCCTCCAGCTCACACACACACACACACACACACACACACACACACACACACACACACAAACACAAGACATGGAGACTTAGTATAGATTATGAAATCTCAGCCTATAGCTTAGGCTTGTCAGACTAGCTCTTATAACTTCAATTAATCCCTTTATCCTAATCTATATTTTGGCTCGTGTCTTTTTATCTTGCATCTTCTGTTTCCTCTCCTTGTCCTCTAGCATCTCTACCATGCCTAGATTCATCTCCTCTCCTTCTCTCTCTGTCAGAAGTCCCACCTAATCTCTTCCTGCCTAGCTATTGGCCATTTAGCTCTTTATTAAACCAATCAGAATATGCCTTGGCAAAGACCCATCTTCACAGTATACAAAAAGATTATTCAACAACAAGGTTGCACTATGTCCTTTCTTGGACATTTTTTACCCTGTAGCTAGGGGTTAAAAGGGCTGCCTAAGATGGACAGACAGCCCAAGTTATAGACCAGGAACTGCTATGGTGCAACAGATTAGCCTACAGTGCCACAAAGAGGGTCCCAAGAGTTCAAAGGCAGTACATCGACAATTTAATACTGAATCCTACTCTCTCTCCTGAGACTGAAATACAGCAACCACCTGTCTCTTGATTCTGTCTCTGTCTGTCTGTCTGTCTCTGTCTCTGTCTGTCTCTGTCTGTCTCTGTCGTCTCTGTCTGTCTCTCTCTCTCTCTCCCCCTCTCTCAGCTTATTTATCTTAAATTAGCTATACTCACATGTTATCATCTAATACTAGTCTATCTACTACTGGTACCATTAAATTTGCTGGTTCTTTGTGTAGTTAACCTTCTGGAAATAGTTTCTTCCTATAGAAATGTAGTCCCATCTTTCTTTGGAATTATAAGCACAGTCTAGTATTGAACTTTTCACTTTTCACACCTCACTTATATATTTATCCATGTCCAGTCATATCACAGTCTCATGTTTTTCATCATTTTTCTTCCTTTTCAACTGAAACATATATTGAATGATTTTTATGTAATATGTCACAAGTTATACACACAGGTATAAATTTATATACAAACAATAAAATCTATTTCCCTGAACTCAGTGTTCTACACAATAATACTGTGCTATGCATCCTTCCTATGAGCTCTCATGCTATCCTGTTTGTTTCTGCTTCCAGAAGAGAATTATTTTCTCAAGTTTTTCTTGCAAAATAGCTTTTGAAAAATTTGATCTCACACACTGTTACTTATAAACAATCTGTTTTGCAATCTTTCTTCAGTAGGCTGTATGAAATTGCATCATATTATATACAGTCTTCTGAGAATTGCTTCTATCTCAATATCATATTGGCACTTACACTTGTAATGCATTACTTTTCCTTGAAGGATGAGATTATGACATGTGAGTGCACATCACAAATTATATTACATACGAATTTCTCTGTTGATGTGGGGGAGTTGTTTTTTCTTTTTCTTTTCTATCTCATGTTGATTAAGACTGCTATGAAAATCTGATACATGTCTCCTGGCAAACACTCATATGGGTTTATGTATGAATGCTGCCGAGGAGTACGAAAACTGATGGTTTTCAGGATATGAGGATGTCTAAATTAAAAGAAAATGGTGAATTGTTTTTCAAAATATTTTACAAATTTACACTCCAACCATCAGTTGTTTTCTCTAAAAACTTCTTAGACCAATCTATCTATCAATTAATTTTTCTACCTATTTTACTACCTCCTTCAACTTCCCAAATCTCTTGGGAGAATTGCATTGTTAATTTTCTTGCTTTATAGGACTCTGCCTGAATACCAGAGCAGGTCTAAGATTTTTTTTTCAGACAAATCAGCTGTCTTTCTGCCTCCTATAGAGTCTCCCATAACCTTCATCTATGTGGATAGATGCAAATTCATTTTCTTTTCCTTCCACTGTAGATTAGCTGCAGGAAATTCGATGCATTTCTTAATGTACAATTTTACTTCCTCTGATCTTCCTTCTTGGCAATCACAAAACTTGGATTCTGTGATGGACTGACTCCTGGCCTCACTCCACATGGTTTCCATTATAAAACTTGCTGGAGGGTTTAATTCAAGTATGTCCACTCCTAAGCAAATTGTTTGCTGTCCAAAAATATTTGAGTCGTATTTAGTAGTAATTTCTTGCCTTTTAAAAAACCATGGACATGCCTAGTGAACATAAAAGTATTAGGACACTTTGGGTAGTAATCCTAAGAGTGAAGAACTTGTCCTTTATGCATTTTTCTCAGGAATTATCCCTTTAATTGGTTATCCAATATCAAGTTATCAAGCCTGCAGTTGTCTATACATGAGTGACATTAAACAGAGTCAGCATGTTGTATTTATATATTTATGAATTGATATGTTATATATGTATTTACTTATATATTCATATATAATAATCAAATGAAAAGAGGCCATGAGTTATAGAGGGAGTAGGAGGCACAGGATGGGTTGGAAGAGGAAAAGGCAAGGGGGTAAAGATGTAGTTATGTTTTAACTCTTTATGTTGTTGTTAAAAAAGAATCACAAAATTACCTTTAAGATGCAAAAATCTTTGCATTGTATATTTTTATTACCTAAAACAATGAGATCTTTTGGTTCCAGAGAGAAATTTTTATTTTTAAGTGGTCTATTTCAACTACATTGAACCCAGGGGAATGTGACCCTCATCTGGCTACATGACACAGTTCCCAGTTATACAGAAAACAAGATTTTCTTTGTTTCTGATCAACTAATGTTTAGTATTAAACAAAGTCACAAAACACTCTAAAATTATTTTTACTCATGAATGATTTGTTAGGTTTGCCTCAATGGTCCAAAGGGCTTTCAGTAGAGGAAATGTGTGTTCATGTGTGCCTGTGTGTGTGTGTGTGTGTGTGTGTGTGTGTGTATGCATGCCTGAATGCATGTGTGTGTGTGTGTGTGTGTGTGTGTGTGTGTGTGTAAAATGGTTACATAAACAAAATTTTTGGCATAGTAGGAGTTTTCTTAAGCCTTTTTGACTGAAGGAAAGTGTGATCTTTCTCTTGAGTTTCGAGATCATCGTGTCATCCTTTCATTTATGTTCATTATGAATTTAAAACCATTGGTGAGCCCCATCCTGGCCTTTCAGAATTTCTCTTAGCAGTTTATTTATATTTCATGATTTAATCTACTTCAATATCTTCTCCAAATATCTTTCTGTTCCTGTTCATTTTTCATTCTGTATGTCAAGTGTCTTCCAACAATGAATGGCATATACTATACCAGAGACAGGCATGGCTGTCTTCTGCTTCTCACCAGTGCACATTATGAAAGTTTCAGCATTTGTCTCACTGCATAATTGCTGCATAGATTACTTCTTTCTGTTCCCATTGGATGTCTATATTAAACACCAGTAAGGAAAACTGTTATAGTAGTGTCTAGATACTTTGCCCAATAACATAACTGCATATCCCTAAGAACTTTTGTTGCAACTCAACAAATAATTGCTTAATAAATAAGAGAGAAACACATTAATCAAGAAATCAATTAGTTTAAAGATAATAATATATGCATACAACCCTTTGCACCATCTAGACTGAATATAAGTGCTCTAGCAATGAAATTAATTCCCAATGAAACATCAGGCCATGCAGGCAGCTTTGTCTGTATGTACACAAGGTGCTATCCAGTGATCTCCATATACCTAACAAGTCAACATATGTTTAGCACAATCCATTGTAAAATACAGAAGAATGGTCCCTGCAATGCTATGAGATCTTTGAGTGATTTTTCTATATAACACTAATAGAGATTTTATTATTTGTCATTCATTAGCTTCTTTGTCCAACCAATATATGTATCATACCATTGTCATTATCTTTACAAAAGTTCTGGGATATTATGTGTCTTGATTTTTAATTCTCAAAATAGAGAAGATATTTAACAACTGCTTTCCAAAGCAAAGTAAGATAATGTCAACATTTTCCTGGTGTTCTAACAAAGGAATATAGCCTGAATTATTTGTAACCCACATGGACTACTAAAATTATCTATCATGTCTTCAATTTATAACAAGTATATTAATTCTTCTTCCCAATTGAAATTAAGGAAATTTCCCTTTTCTTCATAGCCTCACCATCACTTGATATCTTTTTGAAGCCAATGTAACAGATATGATATTATATTTTATTATGCTTTAAATTAGATTTCTCTGAAGATCAGCAATGCAGAACAATCTTGTATACATCTGTTGGCCATCTGTATGTCTCATATGGAGAACTGCTTCTTCTGGTTCTTTGCCCATTTTCATTTAAAACACTTTATTTTTGTGTAATTTGCTTGATTCCCTTATCTGCCTTGGAAAGCAACTCATTATAAGATATGTGGTTGGCACAGGAGACCATTTCCTAAATGGTCTCCTGTAGCACAGATACTGAGGGAAAAAATTAATAAATGGGATGTCCTGAAACTGAGAAGCTTCTGTAAGGCAAAGGACACAGTAAATAAGATAAAATGACAGCTTACAGAATGGAAAAAGATTTTCATCAACCCCACATCTGACAGAGGGCTGATCTCCAAAATATATGAAGAACTCAAGAAAATATATATCAAAATAAAGAACAATCCAATTTAAAAATGGGCTATAGAGATAAACAGAGAATTCTCAAAGGAAGAATTTCAAATGGCCAAAAGACATTTAAGGAATTGCTTAGCATCCTTAGTCATCAGGGAGATGCAAATCAAAATGACTCTGAGATACCATCTTATAACTGTCAGAATGGCTAAGATCAAAAGCACTGCAGAGAGCTTATGTTGGAGAGGATGTGCAGCAAGGGGAACTCTCCCCCACTGTTGGTGGGAGTGCAAACTTGTACAGCCAGTGTGGCATTTTCTCAGAAAATTTGGAATCAGTCTTCCTCAAGACTAGCTATACCACTCTTGGGCATATACCCAAGGAATGCTCAATTGTACCACAGGAACGAATGCTCAACTATGTTCATAGCAGCATTATTCATAATAGCCAGAACCTGGAAACAACCTAGATTTCCCTCAATTAAAGAAAGGATTACAAAATGTGGTACATATACACAATGGAGTACTACTCAGAAGAGAAAAACAATGACATCATGAGGTTTGCAGGTAAATGGGTGGATCTAGAAAATATCATCCTGAGTGAGGTTACCCAGATTCAGAACAACAAACATGATATGTACCCACTCATAAGTGGATACTAGACATAAAGCAAAGGATAACCAGACAGCAACACACAATTTTAGAGAAGCTACCTAATAAGGAAGATCCAAAGAAGGATGCATGGTCCACCCTGGGAAGGGGAAATAGATGAGATCTCCATGAGTCAACTGGGGTTGGGGGTGGGCAAAGGAGGGTAGAGGATGGGGGATGAGAACACAAGGGAATGGGATGGAATGGGAAAACAATGAGAGAGATACCATGAGGGAGGGAGATATCATGGGGATAGAGAGAAACCCAGTGTTAGGGAAGTTGCAAGGAAACCCCAAGGATAACCTCTGCTTGGACTGCTAGCAATAGTGGAGAGGGTGCCTGAACTGAACTGGCTTGCCCCAGTGAC